CAGGGCCCAGGGCGAGGGCAGGCGGGGGGGGAGGCCAGGTGCGGGGGGGGGGGGAGCTGCGGCGGGGGTGGGCGCGTATCTGCGCCCTCCTCCCCAGAACTCCGACATTGTCTTTTTTCTCTCATGGCGTCGAACCCTGGAGATCTGGACCTCTTCCCCCAGGACCGATACGTCATCCCGGGGCCCGGCGAGGGCCCCCAGAGCCCAGGAATACATCAAAAAAGCCAAGTCGCGAGGGGGTCAGAGGCCTCCTCCTCCTCCTCCTCCTCCTCCTCCTCCTCCTCCTCCTCCTCCTCCTCCCTCTCCGCAGTAACACTGTGGGGGCCCCAGCTCCAGAAGCCCTTGGCCCCGACCCCCGTGGCCCTTCTTGCCGGGTGTTGTAAGGAGTGCCCCTTGCCCAGGGCGCCCCCAGAATTTCCAAGGAGGCCCCCACAGCCTCCAGAGCAGCCCCTACGAGGCCCAGAGGGCCCCAGGGGCTGCAAACTTGAGCGAAAAGCAGGGGGCACCTTGGGCCAGGGGCACCTGTAGCAACCCCTGACCGTGGCTCCAGCTCCAGGCCGCGAGAGCCGGCGCGCAAGCAGCAGCGCCAACCTCGGCGCACGCACCAGCGGCACCGCTTTCGAGGCTCCCGTCGAGCTCTGCAGCGTCGACGAGGGCAGTGTGGGCAATGCCCTCCGAGAGACAGAGCCTCGAGAGGCGGAAAGGCCTGCCTGCCTGGGCCCACACAAAACCCTTGACCTGGGCGACCTCTCCCTGCGACCCAGGCGTTGCAAGATGTTCACAGCGGGCGTGTTCGCCCGCTCTCGTGCCCAAAGGCCATCACATTGTCTCAGACAACAAGATGCCAGTGCTACGGAATGCGTGCCAGCTTCCTCAAGAGGCGTACGCTGGAGGTGATCCAACTGCGCTGGGGAAAGTACTGAGCGGATTCTCCTTCCTTTGCCAACGACCCTCACATATCGATCTGGCTTGAAAATGAAGCAGGCAGATTGAGTCTAGGGCTCTGGCCGTGACTTTCGCGATGCTGCATTTGTTCGCAACGTCGGATCTGCTGGGATGGGCGGGGGGGGGTGCTAAGGGGATAGCAGTCTATCAGTGGACGCCAATGGCCGCACCTAGCTTATAAGTGGGTTACACATGCCCCAGGTGGCTTAGGGGGCTTAGACAAGTACGCTAAGTGGGCGGAGCCCACTCAGCCTGGATCGATATCCACTCCAAGCCACTTGGGGCAGTAGCAACCCACTAATGAGCTAGGTTAGGCCAGACATAACCCACCTTGGGGTCCACTGATCACCCCCCAATCTTGGCGGCGCGCACAGGGGGTGGAGGGAAGGGGGGAGGGCTTCCTAGAAGGAGGCTGCTTCTTAGAAGGCGCCGACCTTATATCTGTAGATAAGGCCCGCGCCTTCTAAGAAGCAGGGGTGTTTCCCCCTCCCCCCCCCCACCCCCCTCTGCGCGTGGCTGATTAGCACCCCCCGCGCCCATCCCTGTGGGGGCCTGGCCAAAGTGGACCCAAGCATGCGAGACGTCCTGCTGTCTGCCGTGCGGAGTCCCCGGAAGCCCCCCGGCCCTTTCCCCGTGGCTGATTGCTGATCGATACAAGTCGTCTTTGACGGTCAATGGTGATCCTTGGGCGACTCGAGCAGGCGATCGACTACAACCTTGGTGTACTGCGTACTGACAGTACGTGATTGATCGAGTTTGGGCTCGACTGCATAACTGATTATTTGATTCTCTCTGAAGTGGAACTGGGACACACAAATACATAGACACAAATAACAAGACTCCCAATATTTTCCAATATTTTCTGGGTGGGTTTTTGTCTTCCCCCTCACTTCCCATATTTTCCAATACTTTCTGGGGAATCGGCGATTGATTGTGTCTGTGCCTTTTTCCCTCTTCACTCTCGCCGAGCGTGCGGACAAAAAAAGGCAATGCTCGCAGAGCGCGAAGAGTCCGCCCCTGCCCCACCAGGGGTGACAGCTCCCGCGGCGCCCAGGGTGGACAGCGGCCGCCGGTGCACCCGCATCGGCAGCAGGGGCTCCCCCGCCGCCTGCAGGGGGGCTCCCTGCCCAGAGGCTGGGCTCAGGTCGGGCATGTCCCCCCACAGGCGGATTTTGGACGGATGTATATGTATGTATGTATGTATGTATGTATGTATATATATATATATATATATATATATATATATATATATATATTCCAAAGAAAAAAAGAAATCTGCCATGGCCCAAACTATTCAAACATAGCATACAACATCGTCCCCAACATATTTTCTTACTATGTTTGAATATTCCTCCTGTAGAGGGACAGGCACGACTTAAGGCCGGGCGAGGATGGGGGGGAGGGCAGGTGGAGGGGAACTCAGACCCCCTCGCGCTGCGCAAAAAGATCACGACGTTGTTTGTTTTGTGGTTGTTATCTTCAGCCTTCAAGGTCCCTCGCCAGGCCTCGGGGCTGTAACAGAAACAGCCCTGGAGGAAAAACCGGTCCCAGGAAAGGGGTCGACCTCTGGGGTTAGGTCGGGCATGTCCCCTACAAGCGGATTTTGGGCGAAAAATGCAAAATATACCCCAAATGCTCAAATCTACTCAACAAATCGTCCCCTGACTATTTTTGACTATTTGGGAAGATTCCTCCTGTAGAGGGACGGGCCCGACGTAAGTCCAGTGGGGGTGGGCGTGGCGAGAAACCCCAGACGTCGGGGGCCTGGGGAGGCAGGGCCGCCCTACCCTGCTCTCGTCGGGGAGGCCAGAGGCTGGGCGAGCATGGGGAGGGGAAGGGCAGGGGGGAGGGGAAGGCAGGGCCACTCAGGGCTGGACCTAAACGCTGTTGTTCGTTGTGCTTTTCGTTTCGTTCTCGATCTGGTTTTCGGTTTGCGCTGCCTGTCTTCCTGCACCTCCCTCCCAAAACGAAAAACAAAGCACAGCCGAAGTCCAGCAAACCAGCGTTGAGGTCCAGCCCTGGGGCCAACCCACCCTGCGCTCGTCGGGGATTAGAGAACCAGCAGCACTCCAGCAACACCTTTTTCAAACAAGCGCGATGGAAGCCCAAGCCCCGTGGCACGGAGGGGAGGCCGCGGAGGCGGGGAGGGGGGGGGGGGGCAGGGAGGGAGGGGGCACGGGGGGGGGGGGGGGGCGGCACGAGCGCGAGCGCGTTCTGCCGCGAAGCCGCTGAATTACCCTGGCGCCGCTCCACCAGGCGCTCCCGCAGAGCGGCGCGCTGGGGAGAACAGATCAGCACGGAGAGGACTTGGACAAAACAGAGGCGGCGTCCGCCCCAGGCCCCCGACGTCCTGATGCTTGTCATAACGTCGACCCCTAACCCTTTGGGAGGGGATCTAGGTCAGACGTCTCATACCAAACCGTCCAAGTTGTTGTATCCCTAGTGCGAAGACGGGGATCTGAACGAGGCCATGTTTTCATCGTATTCTTAGGGTGAAGGCTTCTTTTGTTCTCGATGCGTTCGGGGCCCCTGGAGGCAGAACATACACAACGAAACAACGCCCGTCGTGATTTTTTTTTTCGTGCCTCGAGGGGGTCTCGGGCACGTCCTCGCCGGCTCCCCCCGGGACCGTCAGCAGACGGCTGGGGATGAACGGCTGGTCCCTCAGGGAGGGGCGTCCGGATCTCCAGAGGGCCACGCTGTGAAGAAGCACCGGAGGAGCAAGAGAGTGAGGGAGGGAGAGAGGACGGGCTCCCAGGGGAGGGTGCACGAGGAGGCAGGGGCGAGAACAGAGCGGAAGCAAGGAGGGTCTGTAGCTTGGCCGTGGGCTAGAGTCAAGCGCTGGCTTCTCAACAGTCGCGGCGACGAGCGGGGCCCGACCGAGGGCCAGAAAAGGAACGAACGCGAGGGCCAAGGGGACCGCAACGGGGAGGAGACTGGGCGACGGCCTGGAGGGGAGGGGGGGGGGGAAGCGAAGGGGAGGGAAAGGAGGCGGGACATGAAAAAGGAAGGGGAGGGGGGGGGTTCGGGCCTGTTGCTGTGGCATGGGGATTTTGAGTCTGGCGCGTGAGCGTCAGCGTGCAGACAGCACAACGCATCTTGCGTCCTTTTCCTTCAGAAAGCGGCCCGGCGCAGCGAAAGCTCGAGCATTGGACAAACACTCGCGGATCGTCGCAACAGTTTTCGGTCTGATTCCTCGCACGACCCATCGGGGAAGGAAGAAGGATCGGGTAGGAACAAGGAAAGGCGACACCAACACCATGAGGGCGAGGAGATGCGAGTACTGCAATGGGGGGTCTCCCTGGTGGTATGGTCCACCCCTCTCGCTCGAGACATCTCCAGCCTCCGGCTCGGGGAGGCATCGTGAACCTCCTCGCTGGAGTTGGTGTCGCTGCTCCTCCCTCCGATGGGGGGGGCCCTGAGATCCCAAGCTGCGAACAGAACTGTGCCAGCGCAGAAAGCACGACCTCAAGACCCCATCCCTCTCGAGCACTTCTTTGGAAGAAGAAAAGAAGAACAACTGCATAATGCATAAACATTAACTGTTTGCGCTCCGCGCGGATTTCGTGGATCTGCGCTGGACCCCCCTCCCTGGCGCGCGGAGCGCGCCAGCGGCGGCGCCGGAGGCCCCGCCGGGGACGCCCAGCATGGATCCAGAGCTCGCCAGGGGCGGCGCCGGAGGCGCCGCCAGGGGGGCCCAGTGCGGATCCAAGAAATCCGCGCTGAGCGACAAACGTTTCTGTTTACGGCGCTTGCTCTCCTTCGATTCTCGAGCCGCACCGATCTGTGACGGCCCCGGGGCCCGACGCCGGGCGAGAGCACCCCGTGTGAAGAAGACTGCAGCGCCTGGACCTGTGATGTCTAGGCAAGCGGTTTCGGTTCCGGTTCCCTCCCCGGAACCGTTTTTTTTTGCAGGCTCTGGTCGCCTTTTTCTATACCGTTTCCTCTTTCAAGGGACACCTTCTCGACAACGGTGACAAAACGGCCCTGCCGTTTCCGGGGCCCCCTGAGCCCAGGAGAGGCGGCGGCCGCCCTCTGAGGAGGCCTTCTCCCTCTCACCTCTCCCCCTCGCTCGCCGCCGAGGTGAGGGCCCCCGGAGGCCGACACTGGCCGACGACTTCCCCGTCGAGATGTCGGCGCGCACGACGCGCTACATTTCCAACGCCAGGTCGGGGAGACGCAAGGCTCGGGTTATGGGTGGACTCGGGTTGGACTCATGCAGGCGGAATCTGGAGGACAAATAAAACACAGTCAAAAATGACCACTCGGCCAGCTGACAGCGCTGCGACAAGATGGGCCTGCGGAGTGAGCGAAGCGATTGAACAACACACCATAACAACTAATCAAATATATTAAACGAGTAGTCGAAAAATCGGCCCCAAGCTATTCTTGTACCATTCTTGGATACTCCTCCGGTAAAGGGATATGCCAGGCTTAGGGTTGGCCTGACGGGGCCGTGAGAATGACGCGACCCAATCTGAAAGTGGACGAGGGATCCCGCTGCAAACGTCCCACGGAACCGGGACCGTCAGAATCCAGGACGCGCTCGTCAGAAAGCCTCGGGGAACCCGAATTCTGGCGTACTCGAATACTTAGTTGTTCTTGAAAACGCTGGGGCGTTTCTTGTTCCGCTTTCGTATGTTCGTATTGCGGTTGACCACAACGTAACAAATATAGCAACCCAACCCAGAACAATCACGACACCGTCCGGGCCTACAACAGCGAGAAACGGCAACCCAACACAGAACACTATTGACAGAAACGGGACACACAATTACCAAAACGGTAATTCAAAAGAATTCGAACACGGATCGCAAAATGAACCGGCAACGGCGAGACGGCAATCCCACAACGGAGAACAAACGGCTCCAAAACAGAGCAAAACACGTCGATCTTGAAAACAGGAAAAGAGCGCCCCTAGCGTTTTTGGTTAAGGACATCTGAGCTCGAGCTTTACGCTTCCCCGAGCCAGCCTTAGGTCGGGCATGTCCTCCTACAGGCGGCCTTGGGAGGAAAGATAAAGCACACTCGAAAGATATTCAAGAATAGTCAAAAGATAAAGGCCCCGCCCCTTGCGCCGCCCCCTCCTGCGCGCCGCCGGCGGCGTCCGCCAGGCCCCCCCCCCCCCTGGCGGGCGGAGGGCGCCCGCCTGGCAGCACCCGGGGAGCTCCCGGAGGCGCGCCTGCACGGCGTACCGGAAGTGGCGCATCTCATCGGGCGTCGGGTTCGCGGCGTTGTGCCGAAGCTTCACCTCGCGCGGAAGGGGGGGGCAGGGTTAGGTCGAGCACATCCTCCTACAGGCCGAATTTTGACAGACAAATGAAAAACAAGTAGTCATGACATAATATTCAAAAGCAGTTAAAACAATCGTCCCAAGACTATTGTTTGACCAGTTTTGAAGTTTCCTCCTGTAGGACTTCAGGGCAGGGGCGAGGGCCGGGCAGAGGGGAGGAGGTGGCGAGGGGGACGATACACCCAGAAGCCAGCGGCGTGAGGTTTTTTGTGGTTGTTGTTGGTGTTGTTGTTGTTGCTGCTGCTGCTGTTGTTGTTGTTGTTGTTGTTGTTGTTGTTGCTATTGTTCTTGTTCTTGATGTTGCTGTTGTTGTTGTTCTTGCAGTTCTCGGCCTCCTGAAGTGGGGCCCTGACGAAGCCCATGGAACCGACCACCAAAAACGACTCGGGACTGGAAGTGCTTGTCCTGGCGAGAGAGTCCAGCTCCGACGTCGTGATCGCATCGCAGCGCGAATATCCGGAGACCCTCGGGGTGTCCAGCCAGTGGTGTGAGCAAGAATCACGGCGTCGGGCTTCTGGAGGGAGCGGGGGTGGACGGCGACGGGGAGGGCGCGAGCGGGAGGAACGCGGAGCGGAGACGGGAGGGGAACTGGTGAGAGCGGGGGGGGGGGGGCAGAGGAGGATGCCCAGGCGAGGGCGCGACGGTAGGGGACGGGGGGAGGGAGGGAGGCAATCTATGATGGGCCTGTTGTCCACCGCCACCACCGCAAGTTGGAGGGGGAGGGGGTCCTCCTCCTCCTCCTCCTCCACCTCCTCTTCCTCCTTCTCGTTCTCCTCCTCGTCCTCCTCCTCCTCGTTCTCCACCTCCTTCCCCCCTCCAACTTATGGTGGTGGTGGTGGAAAACAGGCCCATCAATCCAAGCGAATTCGCGAGCAATCTTGACTACCTACCAGACCACCCCAACCCGACCCGAAGACCCGAATTTCGGGTTTGGGGGGGCACGGGTTCCATCTGTGTTTTCTCGATGTTCCCCGACCCCCCCCCCCACTGGAAATGGAGGGCAAATTGAGGCCGTCGGGTTGGGTTGGGTTGGGGTAGTTTGGTGGGTGGTGACATCTGACGCTCCTCACCTCCAAGCCACCCCGTCCGGCCGTGTCAGCTCCCCCTCGATCCACCGTGCCTCCGGGGGGCCCTTGCCCGCATCCCGCGCCACTCTTCACCCATACCCTGTGCCACTTTTGGCCATGTCGTCCACTCTCGCGCCGCCCCTCTGGGCAGGCGTTGCCCCCCTTGGCTTCGAGCTCTGCTGCTGCATCTGATCCTGCTCGTGGTGGCGCTACGCATGCACGCACCCGCGCTCCAGAACACCAGGGGGAGTCGGGAGGGACAGTATTCTTCGCAGACGTCTGTTTTAGCCCTCTAGACGAAGTAGACGGCACTGGAAGAGACACGGAGGTGCACACTCTTGCGGTTCCCTCGGCTCCTCAGGACGGCATGCGCAACAGGTGCAACCAGGTCAACATCCTGATCCACATACCTTGGAGCAGATTGCGAGCGTAATCCACAAGGAGGTGCAAACTACCCGTAACACGATCAATAGCATCGAACGCCGCATGAATGAGATGAACGGCACCATGAACACCAAGTTCGAGGAGGTAAAGGAGCACATCGAAGGCATCGCCGTCCGCCTGACCAACCTGCAGAATCTGAGCTCCGAGCAGGTCGGCACCACAGCCACTCCCTGAGACGACGACACAACCATCTGGGACCTCATCAAGACGATTGAGCACGAGGTTTCGCAGTTGCAGGTGAATCAATCAAGCAATACAGGGGAAGTAAAGTGGGATCTCGCGGCAGCGATTGGCACACTTCTTGCTTAGGTTTCTAAGATAGAAGGACACACTTTATTCGTTGTCGGCGCCGGCGGCTATTGACATCTACTCTAAAGATGATGTCCGAGACATGCTCTTCGCGGTATTCGCTAGCGCAGCCGATCGAAATCTTGTGGTTGGGGTGTTACGGCGTGCGGATCCTGGTAACGGAGGGGCAATAATCTGGGCTACACATTGTAAGCCGCCTTTTCATCGCGCTGCTCGGAACGTAGGCTTTGGATTGAAACATGTTTTCAACACCGAGTTAGATAACAAGTACAAGGTCCATAATGCAGCCAACGAGTTGTAATATCGAGTATTCGTGGGATGTGATTTGGCTACTTCAATATTGGAATGGAGCGCAGAATGAGGAGCCTAGGAAGAACTCCAAACACATCCCACGCTCATCGAACTCATTGCGCAAAACACGACGCTACTGGAGCGAGCTGTCGAGGGGATGCAAGGCTGAACGAAGTGCTGAAACAAAAGCCACTAGGAAGCACGTCCAGACCCCAGAACCGGCCCAGAAGATCTCTGTACATGATTCTCTCACCGCGTTGGGAATACATATCACTACAATCTATGCGTTCCTGGGCAAAGATGCCGTCGTTCTGCACTACACCCTGGACCCGTCCTACTCGGCGACCAGAGGAAATTGATAGAAACATGAAGTAGGATGACATCAAAAATTGATTGGGCGTCCACCCAACACTTAAAGAGGAATGAGGAGAAGAGACCAATCGACTCTTGAAGTAGGCAGGCGCATAACGTAGAGAAGGGCCTGGGCATCCAAAAAACATACTTCAATGGCCGGCGTGTACATCCTTCGGGCAGTCCTCATAAAGAAGAGCTGCTAGAACCCTCCTTTTATGTAAATCATGCTTGGAGTAGGCCCCGGTCTGCCAGCCAACCCTGTTGCCCTGGCCGGTGGGCTCGTGGAGTGTGGAAGGCTTGCGCGGCGATTCGATCCTCAAGATAGACAAGCTGATTGGCATCAGGCGGCCACGAGAGATCAACATCCTCTGCATACCAGAAGCGCATCTGAACGGTTCCGAATACTACTCACGAGATGGTTACACGATGTGTTTGTCAAGTGAGTTGGACTTGCGAGTGCGATCGCACGGCGGAGTGGGTTTCGTAGTGGTCACGCGTACTTTGAACAGCAGTGCAGCCTTCAAGGCGAGCACCTCCAGGGTAGCCTCATTGAGAATCACAATCAAAGCGGGCATGCTAATCATTGCCACGGCATATGCTCCACACAATCGCCGTCCACATGCGCAGCGGTATTCCAAGCAGATCTACAAATGCAAATTCGGGCGACCACCGCTCACAACACAACGTACATCATGGGAAACACCAATGCTAGACCCTTGCGGGTTGGAGCCGGAACCTATGACATGATTTGAGCTTTACATGTTGGAATGCCCTGATGTTGCGGATACGTCCATGCTAGCCGCTGCCCCAAACAGGCACCTCTTCGTGGAGAGGTGCACGTCTTACAACCTTCTGGTGGCCAACACTTACTGAGACCATCCAATCAACATGAAGATCTGGTTAATCTTGGTATCATCCCCACAGACAACGACATGCCTGGACACAAGTTTGCTCACCTTGACCACGCGCTATGCAATCGTAAGGGTCTGTACACACCGTCAAGGATACCTGGACGAGACGGAGCACATATCATGTACTCACCATTTTATAATTCAACTTGGCATTCCGAGTGGAAGAACCCCCCAGTATGGAGTAGATGGACAAGTCGAACATCACATATCCACACACGATAGACCTATTTATTTCAGTGACCGTCGGCAACTCAATGGATACTAACACGGATTCGGCCGATGTTGCGAACAGTTGGGTTCGAAATGGTTTCGAAAAAGATGCTGAAGCGTTGACCAAAGAGAAGTGGGACACAAACAATATTGCACGAGCCAGCGTACGCTTGACTTGAACGACCAGCGCAACACTACACGTCCAAGCTAAGATCACAATGCTGAAACACAGCTCCAAAACAGGATACGGACATCAGGGGCGACAGGTCGCAAAGAGAGGCTGGACTTATTAATTCAACGGGGAGGTTGGAAAGCAGTTCGACATCTCAGAGCACCCATACGTATCAAGCATGCGTCGAGACCACGCCCTGATGGAACCCTTACAGACACCGCTGAATGAACAGATGTGCTGGCCGACTACTTCGAAGATGTTCGATGGCAAGTGCGCTTCCCAGAAGACACTTCGGAACCGCGCGCCCTCCTAGGCGACCCGTTGCCTGTCAACACGAGCTCGCTTACCATGGAAGAACTTGTCGAGGCGCTTCGCCGGCTATGTCGTGGTAAAACTGCTGGGCATGACGGGATACCGCCAAATGTCTGAAAAACGTTGGAGTCGGACCCAGACGCTTCTGCAATCACGCTTCGCTTGTCCCAAAAGTGTCGGGAGCCAAAATTCAAACCCGCATCTTGGAGGCGTGCGAGCATGGTTCTCTTTTTCAAGAACGGAAAATCACTCGTCCAGAAATCTACAGACCAATTCCTTGCCTCCACGCATGCTGCACCAACGCTTACTTCAAGGAGGTACCAAGTCCAGAAAGCATGGCTCTCGATTTGGACTTCGTTCCACGGGGCGGGAGGATGGGAAAGACTCAGGACGTTCGCGCCTGGGGACTGGGACGTGGACAGCGTGTCGCGCCGAAGTCGCTCCAGGTGTGACCTGTGCCCCTGGGCGGCCCTCGCTCCCTGTCCCCCCCTTCGGCCGCCCTCCCTGTCTCCTTCCATGTCACTGCATTGTGGCACGATTCGCTTCAGCGGTATCCCCGTTGTGAGTGCTCTTCCGCCTGCGCAATTCCTCTGCCTTGCCGCCGGCGTGGAAACGTGTCGCGACGAAGCGTGGTGGACCAGAAACGGCGCCGCGACACGCTGACCAAACGTTCTCGACCGTAGGAGGGCACCACACATGCACCTACACAGACCCGACCCTGGCCACAAGCCGATCCGGCGCCCGGGACGGGCCCGGCCAGAGCAGGTGGTGGAGTGGTCGGCGCCTTCCAAAGGAGGAGGAGGAGGAGGAGGAGGAGGAGGAGGAGCAGGAGGAGAGGACGAGGAAGAGGAGGGAGACGAGGAGGAGAAGGAGGAGGAGGAGTGCGAGTAGCTTTGGGGAGGAGGAGGAGGAGGAGAAGGAGGAGGAGGAGGAGAAGGAGGAGGAGGAGGAGGCCGCAGCCATTTTGGCTCAAGTCTCACGGAGCTTACCTCCCGTGGGTCCCGACTCCAGAGGCTCGAGGCTGAGGTGGAAGGACAGCCCCTTCCAGAGGCCTGGCTGCCTCAGCCAAGCGCTGGGTGAGCTCCTGGCGGAGCACAGTATTCGTCCCCTCGGCGCTCCGAGGGAAGCTTTCAGTTAGTCCACGGGACTGCAGATGACACAGAATGGTGGAGAGGAGCCAGCAGTCTTGCCGGGGCTGAAGAAGCCCGTGTGGGGCTGCGCCTGTGGGAGGAGCAGCAAGTAGTCGAGCAGAATCCGTTGTGCGTGCGGGGCGAGTGCGCCACGCTCTATCATCGATCGTGCCCGTCTGTATGCAAAGAAGTGTCAGAATGAACGAGGGCCCAAGCCTGGACAACACCCCCAGCCTGGGGGTGTCTGGGCTGAGCAGCTCGAGAGTACGAACCAGTCGATTGCGAAGCTTGCCAATTCTGTCCAACTCTTGCTCAAGGCTCAGCCAAGTGTGGAGGGCCGCCAGCGCTGGGGGTCACGGGCGGAGGGGCCAGCCAGGATAAAGGAGGGCCCAGCCAGAGCCAGCCCGACAAGTTGCGCGAGAGGATCGCGATGCTCGGCAGGATGGCGAAAGAGCTGGACCCAGACGCGGACAAGGGTGAGATCGAGCGCCTGCGGCAGAAGCAGGCGGCAGCGCATAAGGAGCTCCAGGGCTCCAAACCGGCGCTCACCCAGCACACCATCGCAGGTCACAAGTTGGCAGAGCTTGAGGCCAAGCAGGGGGCGCTGGTGCAGAAATTGGAAGCACATCGCAAAGCCATCGAAGAGGCTAAGGAAGTGGAGAAGACCATGCAAGCCCAGGTGGACGAGCTCAAGGCAAAGGTCGAAGAGGCCCGCAAAGAGTTGGTCAAGACGATGCCAGTCAGGACGTCTACCTGGAACGTTGGAAAGTTGGACAAGTCTGAGCTTGAGAAGCAGCCCGAGGTCAAGGCCATGCTCGAGTCAGAAATTCTCAAGGCCAGCGGCGTATCCCCACCTGGCCCTGCAGCTGAGCCTCCTCCTGCTGCTTCAAATCATGGGGAGCGCGTTGGGGGAGATGTGCCCGTACCAGACCTGCACGAAGGCATGGAGCTCTGGGAAGCCTTGGCAGAAGAGAAGCGAACCCTCATGGACGGCTTGGCAGGCCTCAAGCTCAAGCGCCAGAAGCGAGGGTCGCAGGGCACAGGTCATGCCGGACCCGATCGAGGTGCTGGAGGCGTGCGAGGCGCCGGGCGGCTGCTGGCTTCCCCAGGCGGCCCCTCTGGTTCCACCCAGCCCTTCGGAGAGGCGCTGAAACGGGTGAGGCGAGGCCGCCAGGGGACACGGGGTGGGTCATCTCCCCTGCGGTGCCCCGTCTCGCGAGCACGAGCAGCCGGGGGCCACTCGGGCGAGAGCAGGAGGTGAAGGGCAGGGGGAGGAGGTGTCCCCGCGGGGCAAGGCGAAGTCGGATCGGTTCGAGTTCAGCTTCGCCAACATAAAACCAGTCTTGGCCTAAAAGGATGGGATGTCATCGAAGAGGTTGAAGAGGACAGGTTGCCAGCAAGAGGGACCTCAAAATGTTCGGCTTCGTGGAGCACCATTCGTCTGGGGGTCGTTCAACCCAGGCCGCGAAGAAGCTCAAGAAGTATGGCTGGGGAGGGGCCTCCGTCCCAGCAACCCCGACGATCAATGGCGGTAAGCAGGGGCACGGTGGAGTGTTGCTCCAAGCGCGAGTTGGAATGCAGAGCTGGCCGATCACGGACAGCCACAACAGACTCCACCAGCGGCCCGAACATGTGGGGGGAAAGAAACAGGGAACAGGCCAGGTTGTGCGCTTCGAGGGGGGCATCGAGATCCTGTTCGTGGCAGCGTACTTCGTCGTGGACGTGGGCCTCGCAGAATGCGACCTGGTGATGATGGATGAGATAGCTAGCCTGGTCACCGCGACGGACAGGCCACTCGTTCTTATGGGAGATTGGCAAATGACGCTGGATGAGATCGGCCCCGCTGGCTGGGACACCTACCTGCGATACCCCAGGTGGTCACCCTACAGGTGGGCGGCACATAGACTACATGGTGACATCTGAGGACCTGCAGGGGGCACTCCTGCTGGAATGGGACCTGGGCGGGCCCCGGGCGGCCCCACACTTCGGCGTGAATGCGAAGCTCGGCAAGCAAACGTTCAGGTACCAATACAGAATCCCGCTCGCGCCCGTCAGCATCACGGTGGGCATGCGGGGTCCTGACAGAACGTGGGATGAGCACGTAGAGGCGGTCCAGCAGATGAAGCGCGAGGCCCTGGAGGATGACAAGTACCACCACCTGCCCAGGGACAAGCTAGAGGTCTCGGCGGCGCACATGGAGTTCGCGATGGCGGCTGAGCACCTGCTGGCTCAGAGGGAGATCACGATAGACTACCAGAAGGCAGCCGCCCGTCGTGGCCTCCTCACCGAGACGAAGATAGTGAACATTGTGGAGCCAAAGCCGCAAGGATGGATGCAGGGCTCCGAGGGCCTCGCGGGGTGGATGGCTCTAGAGGCTCGCTTCAAAAAAGGTGCAGGGAGTCTTGGGCAAGCAGAAGAAGGCCTTCCTGGTGGACCGAGCCTGGAAGAGCATGCTCAAGCAAGCTCGCCGTTGCCAGGACGTCGAGAGCACCCTGCAGGATGAGCGCAGCCAAGCTGTGCTCAAGCAAATGTTTGCACTTGCCTCGCCGCCTGCTGCTACCGCTGCCGCTCTTGAGGGAATTGGGGTGGAGCTGGGTAGGGCGGTGGGGGGGATTGGGCGTAAGCAAAGCCGAGGCCATTCCAAAGGTTTTAAGGATGGGTCATTTCGAGTTTGCGAGTTGGGGCTGGAGCCCTGCATAGATGGACCAAATCGTGGGGCAAAGAGGATCCCAGGCTGGCCCAAGAGTATGACAATTGCCGTAGGAGTATCAGACACCCGCTTAAGATTGTTGAGGCGAAAGCTGAGTATTGGACCAGGTTCTGGTGCCCGAAGGACCCCGAGGGACGCCCTAGAGGGAGACCTCAAGAGGAGCCCTGGTGGCCCGAATTCAGGCAGCTTGCGCAGGCAGATTTTGCTGAGGCCGCTCCCCATCACCCGTGAAAAGCTCGGGAAGGGGCTCAACGCCTTTAGGCACACGGTAGGCATGGGCCTCGACTGTCAGAACCCCAGGTGGTGGTCCCAGGTCACAGGAGAAGGTCAGCAGCAGCTGCTGCAAGTCTTGCAGGGTGTAGAGCAATATTTAGAATGGCCTGTGCAATTAGAAGAGAACGTAGTCCAGCTAAACTATAAGTCGGAAACAGCTGACCGCCCGATCACATTAACCCAGGCTCTGCATAGGACCTGGTCGGTTTTGCGCAGAGGCCAAGTCGCCAAGTGGGCCGAGGAGGGGGTCGAGTTTTGGGACCGGGCGGTGCGAGGGATTTCCCCCCTTAGGGCTGCCCTCTTGCGGCAACTCCGTTTGGAAGTGGCCAGCGTCCAGGGTTTTTCTTTGCTTGAGATTCTCGATGACCTGGAAAAGTTGTACGACCACCTGCATGTGGAGAAATCTTCAGGCTTGCCAAAATCGCTGAGTACCCCATGGGCCCTCTCTTTTTGGCCATGCAGATTCACTTTAGTCCTCGGCGGCTGCGAGCCGAAGGGGGCCTGAACGAACTCATCGTTCCCTTTAACGGGCTGCTCGCAGGCTGCAACCAATCAATTGATATTTCTCGAGTTTCACTGTGGGAGATCCTACACGATATGCACTGGGTCGACGATATGTGTTCGGGCACAGCCGGCTTGTCCATGAGCGATCTGTGCAAGTGGCCTCTGCGCTCGTCGCGAAACGTACCGCCAGTGGCCTAGTTGTTTCAGGTAAACGCACCATCGTAGCTAATCCGCCAGAGCTCGGAGAGAAAGTTGCAGACGCCCTCGAGGTCAAAGGAATTTAGCTCGAGACCTCGCAGCAGCAAGTCAACGATCTGGGGGTTGATGGGTCGTCGTGTCGTCGTTCGGTCCGTACTATGAAGAAGAGACTCTCGGCTGCTAGAGGTAGAAGTAGCATGATTGCACAAGTCGCTAAAGCTAACCCGCAGACTGCAAAGTTAGGCAAAACATGTGTTCTCCCACAGGACACGCGGGGCTTTGAAGGGATGGGCCTGGCACCAACAACCCTCCACAAGCTCCGTTCCCAAGTGTCTGGGCTCACGGGGATTCGACGAGAGGGGAGCTGCGCCACGGTTGCCATCCGTCTTGCTCTGCCGTCCAAGCAGGACCCGCTAGTTTTTTTTTTGGGCAGAACGCAGATTTTTCAGACGTGGGTGGACATGCTACCTGCGATCGTTGCTGACGCCCGTGCTCCGCTGAGCCTCGCATGGAAAAGGTTGCGGCGTGAATTGAAATTGCAGAGCTCGAGGAGAAAAGCTTGCAGAACGAGGTCAAAGGAATTAAGCTCGAGACCTCGCAGCAGCAAGTCAACGATCTGGGGGTTGATGGGTCGTCGTGTCGTCGTTCGGTCCGTACTATGAAGAAGAGACTCTCGGCTGCTAGAGGTAGAAGTAGCATGATTGCACAAGTCGCTAAAGCTAACCCGCAGACTGCAAAGTTAGGCAAAACATGTGTTCTCACACAGGACACGCGGGGCTTTGAAGGAATGGGCCCGGCACCAACAACCCTCCACAAGCTCCGTTCCCAAGTGTCTGGGCTCACGGGGATTCGACGAGAGGGGAGCTGCGCCACGGTTGCCATCCGTCTTGCTCTGCCGTCCAAGCAGGACCCGCTAGTTTTTTTGGGGGCAGAATGCAGATTTTTCAGACGTGGGTGGACATGCTACCTGCGATCGTTGCTGACGCCCGTGCCCCGCTGAGCCTCGCATGGAAAAGGTTACGGCGTGAATTGAGCCGAGGGAAAGTTGCAGAGGCCCTCGAGGTCAAAGGAATTAAGCTCGAGACCTCGCAGCAGCAAGTCAACGATCTGGGGGTTGATGGGTCGTCGTGTCGTCGTTCGGTCCGTACTATGAAGAAGAGACTCTCGGCTGCTAGAGGTAGAAGTAGCATGATTGCACAAGTCGCTAAAGCTAACCCGCAGACTGCAAAGTTAGGCAAAACATGTGTTCTCCCACAGGACACGCGGGGCTTTGAAGGGATGGGCCTGGCACCAACAACCCTCCACAAGCTCCGTTCCCAAGTGTCTGGGTTCACGGGGATTCGACGAGAGGGGAGCTGCGCCACGGTTGCCATCCGTCTTGCTCTGCCGTCCAAGCAGGACCCGCTAGTTTTTTTTTGGGCAGAACGCAGATTTTTCAGACGTGGGTGGACATGCTACCTGCGATCGTTGCTGACGCCCGTGCTCCGCTGAGCCTCGCATGGAAAAGGTTGCGGCGTGAATTGAGCCGAGAGAAAGTTGCAGAGGCCCTCGAGGTCAAAGGAATTAAGCTCGAGACCTCGCAGCAGCAAGTCAACGATCTGGGGGTTGATGGGTCGTCGTGTCGTCGTTCGGTCCGTACTATGAAGAAGAGACTCTCGGCTGCTAGAGGTAGAAGTAGCATGATTGCACAAGTCGCTAAAGCTAACCCGCAGACTGCAAAGTTAGGCAACACATGTGTTCTCCCACAGGACACGCGGGGCTTTGAAGGGATGGGCCTGGCACCAACAACCCTCCACAAGCTCCGTTCCCAAGTGTCTGGGCTCACGGGGATTCGACGAGAGGGGAGCTGCGCCACGGTTGCCATCCGTCTTGCTCTGCCGTCCAAGCAGGACCCGCTAGTTTTTTTTTGGGCAGAATGCAGATTTGTCAGACGTGGGTGGACATGCTACCTGCGATCGTTGCTGACGCCCGTGCTCCGCTGAGCCTCGCATGGAAAAGGTTGCGGCGTGAATTGAGCCGAGAGAAAGTTGCAGAGGCCCTCGAGGTCAAAGGACTTAAGCTCGAGACCTCGCAGCAGCAAGTCAACGATCTGGGGGTTGATGGGTCGTCGTGTCGTCGTTCGGTCCGTACTATGAAGAAGAGACTCTCGGCTGCTAGAGGTAGAAGTAGCATGATTGCACAAGTCGCTAAAGCTAACCCGCAGACTGCAAAGTTAGGCAAAACATGTGTTCTCACACAGGACACGCGGGGCTTTGAAGGGATGGGCCTGGCACCAACAACCCTCCACAAGCTCCGTTCCCAAGTGTCTGGGCTCACGGGGATTCGACGAGAGGGGAGCTGCGCCACGGTTGCCATCCGTCTTGCTCTGCCGTCCAAGCAGGACCCGCTAGTTTTTTTAGGCAGAATGCAGATTTTTCAGACGTGTGTGGACATGCTACCTGCGATCGTTGCTGACGCCCGTGCTCCGCTGAGCCTCGCATGGAAAAGGTTGCGGCGTGAATTGAGCCGAGAGAAAGTTGCAGAGGCCCTCGAGGTCAAAGGAATTAAGCTCGAGACCTCGCAGCAGCAAGTCAGCGATCTGGGGGTTGATGGGTCGTCGTGTCGTCGTTCGGTCCGTACTATGAAGAAAAGACTCTCGGCTGCTAGAGGTAGAAGTAGCATGATTGCACAAGTCGCTAAAGCTAACCCGCAGACTGCAAAGTTAGGCAAAACATGTGTTCTCCCACAGGACACGCGGGGCTTTGAAGGGATGGGCCTGGCACCAACAACCCTCCACAAGCTCCGTTCCCAAGTGTCTGGGCTCACGGGGATTCGACGAGAGGGGAGCTGCGCCACGGTTGCCATCCGTCTTGCTCTGCCGTCCAAGCAGGACCCGCTCGTTTTTTTTTTGGGCAGAATGCTGATTTTTCAGACGTGGGTGGACATGCTACCTGCGATCGTTGCTGACGCCCGTGCTCCGCTGAGCCTCGCATGGAAAAGGTTGCGGCGTGAATTGAGCCGAGAGAAAGTTGCAGAGGCCCTCGAGGTCAAAGGAATTAAGCTCGAGACCTCGCAGCAGCAAGTCAACGATCTGGGGGTTGATGGGTCGTCGTGTCGTCGTTCGGTCCGTACTATGAAGAAGAGACTCTCGGCTGCTAGAGGTAGAAGTAGCATGATTGCACAAGTCGCTAAAGCTAACCCGCAGACTGCAAAGTTAGGCAAAACATGTGTTCCCCCACAGGACACGCGGGGCTTTGAAGGGATGGGCCTGGCACCAACAACCCTCCACAAGCTCCGTTCCCAAGTGTCTGGGCTCACGGGGATTCGACGAGAGGGGAGCTGCGCCACGGTTGCCATCCGTCTTGCTCTGCCGTCCAAGCAGGACCCGCTAGTTTTTTTGGGCAGAATGCAGATTTTTCAGACGTGGGTGGACATGCTACCTGCGATCGTTGCTGACGCCCGTGCTCCGCTGAGCCTCGCATGGAAAAGGTCGCGGCGTGAATTGAGCCAGGCCAAGTCCAGATGGGGAAGGATCAAGGGCCCCATGGGGGCCGTCGTCGCCAACCTGCTGGACCTCGGCTGGGAAGCTCCCGAACCTTGGCTCTGGATTGACCCCGTGGGCAGAGAGGCCTTTGATCTGTTGGAAGGGGAAGCCGACCGTCTCTTAGAGCTGGCCCATGGATGTGCAGTCGAGGCCAAGCCTTGGCTGATGGACAGCCAGCACTATCATGGTGGTGGTGGTGGTGGTGGTGGGGGGGGGGGGGGCGGGCGGAGTTGGGGGTGGATATGACTGTTGCGCTCAAGCACCTCAGTAAGCTCAAGAGCCGCCAGGGGTATGATAAAGTTGCTGTGCTCCAGATAGTTTTCACGGGGGCCTTGTGGCCCAACTCCGGGAGGTTTGGGCAGGAAGGCAGGAGGGGGGAGTGGAGGCCGCAAAGCAGGGGGATCCAGGGGCCCAGGACCAGGACTCGGCCTCCCTCCTCCAGGCAGCGGGCGAGGCCATCATGGCAGTGGCCGACCATCCTCCTCCTCCTGCTGCTGTTGCTGGGAGCTCCCCCTGTGCGGATGATTTCCACCACATGTGTGACCTCGCCGCCCAAGCGGATGAGCTGTGTTGTCAGCCTTGTGGGGGGCCTGAAGACTGGGGACTTGGGCACCCTGGCCCGCCCATTGCCCATTGCTGGCCCTGCCCTCAGGTCCCCTGCCTGCCCTCGCTGTGGCGCCCTGGAGGAAACGCTGTTTCACCAAATGTGGGAATGCCCCAAGAATGCCGACATCCCTGGGGCCCATCCTGAGCTTCTGGAGGCGGCTCGTGAGGGGGTGGTGTCGGCCCCGATTTTCTGGCCCAGAGGTCTCCCCCCCGTCTCCCTGGACCCAGGTGATCGCTGATGCGGTGACCGAGGCCGAACCAGTTGTCTCAGCGTCCCTGCAGGAAGGCCCTTTGGAGCTTGAGGCGGGGGACGTAGCGGGGTCGGACGGGACGGAAGGCACCTACTCTGCTGAGCCTCGCCTGCGCCGCTGTGCATGGGGTTTCAGTGTGATCAGAGATTTCAGACGTGTGGCGTGGGGAAGGGGACCCCTCACAGGTTTCAAGCAGACCGTCCCTTGTGCCGAGTTGAAGGGGGGCCCTTGAGGTTCTCAAGAATACTGAGGGCGATGTTGACCTGGCCGTGGACAGTGCGTGCGTGGTCAAGGCCTTTTGGAAGGGCCCAGGCTATCGGCACAACGTGAATCGCTCGGCTTGGAAAGAGTTCTGGCGTGCGGCTGCAGGTCGGACTGTCAGGATGACCAAAGTCAACTCTCACTCCAGGCCCGAGGTTGTAGGTGAAACTCTTTGGTTTGCAAATGGAGCGGCGGACGCAGGAGCAGAAGAGAGCGCCCGTCAGTGTCAAGTTCACTCGGAGGCAGTTGGACGCCTCCTCGAGGCCGACCGCCTCGCCTTTCAGGTTCACTTGTTGGCGGTGGTCCATTCCATCGCCGTGCAGGCGCGCGAGCTCTACGGTCCTTCGCCTCGTGCTGCACGGATAGCACAGCAGAAGGAGCGGAGGAGAGAGGCGGTGGCGGCGGAGGAGGAAACTCGCCGCACGACCGCCCATGCCCTGTTCCGCGACCGTCAAGGTTGGCGTTGCTTGGAGTGCGGGACGGGGGCCGAGCGAGTGCGGGAGCTGGAGTGGCTGGGGGGGGCTTGTTCGGGTAGGCCTGAGTCCCTGCACACGTCTCACCGTCTTAACGTCACGAGGGGTGTGTTTTGGTGTGAAGTTTGTGGAAGTTGCGGGGTCCGTTCTCGAGGGGGAATGGGCCCCGCTAAAGTTCAGAAGCTGGCCAAGGCCTGCGAGCCCATGACTCGGGGAGGGTGGGGGGCTCGTGTGATCAGGTCCTTGGCCGCGGGCCGTTTGCTTCCAGGCTAGAAAGCCTGGCCTGACGAGTCGGGGTGACTGGTCCGATTCGTTCGAATCCAATTGCTTCGTTTCGCTTCGCTCGCCGCGCCTGACTCGAGGAGCTCGCGGTGGATTCCCGAAGAAGGAGAGGAGGAGGAGAGGGAGGAGGGGACGAAAGTCGAGGGAGTGCCGGGCTGGGCGATAGGAGAGGATAGCGAAGGGGTGTGAGGGGGATCAGTGAATCAGCTCACGCAGCTGATCGCCTTCTGGCGCCAGCAGGCGCCCAAGTGTCGAGGAATGCGCCCGCCAGCTGTGCCGAAACGGGCTGCACGCAACAGATGTCGTGATCACCTCTTTCCCAATCGAAGCATTGGCGGCGCGCACAAGGAAGTAGGGGGAGATGGGAAGGCTTCTCAGAAGGCGGCCGCTTCTTAGAAGCCACTGGCCCTACATCCATTGACGAGGCCCGCGCCGTCTGAGAAGCAGGGGTGCTCCTACGAGGGCCTCCCCCCTCCCCCTGCCACCCTCTGCGCGTGGCCGAAAGACGAAGGACCGAGACAACATCGGATTGCGTCTGGGAATTCGGCTCAGAGCGCTCTCCAGAACCCTCTGCTCCTGGCCCGCCCGACCATCCCCCCCCCTGCACGGTTCCCCCTGGGGCCGTAGGCGACCCGAGGAGGAATAGGAGGAGGAGGAGGAGGAGGAGGAGGAGGAGGAGGAGGAGGAGGGAGGAGGGAGGAGGAGGAGAGGAGGAGGAGGAGGAGGAGGAGGAGGAGGAGGAGGGAGGAGGAGGAGGAGGAGGAGGAGGAGAGGAGGGAGGCGGAGGAGGAGGAGGAGGAGGAGGAGGAGGAGGAGAGGGAGGAGGAGGAGGAGGAGGAGGGGGAGAGGGAGGTGGAGGAGAAGGAGGAGGAGGAGGAGGAGGAGGAAAGAGGAGGACGGGTCGCCTAAGCCCTTCGGAGAAACCCTCCCCCCCCCCCTCTCGTCCGACTCGGGAGTCCCAGATCTCCGGCGTCGTGACTCTGTAAACCCCAAAAGGTTTGGGCCCCCTCCCCGAGGCCGGTGTCTCATCCCGAGATGTTCTTCGACGGTCCCGGGGCCCAGCAAGGGTTCCAAGGGGCCAACAACGTGCCAAAGCCTCTCGTCGTGACCCTGGTCTCCGAAAGGAAAAGCAGGAATCTCATGATAATACTATTAGTAACAATGATGACACTGATGCTCAGAAGGATGATGCTCATAAAAACAGGAATGATATTCATACTGATACAAAGCAAACTACCAACCATAACAATAACACTATTACTACTAATACGATCAACAGCAACAACAGCAGCAACAGCAGCAACAACAGCAATAACAATACAACCAATCATATTAATAACCATACGGATAACATACCTATATCACGAACAGGAAGACGAACAAGTGGGGGGAATGGTGGCCACATGTGCGAGCGCGCCAGGCAAGGGAGCCTGGCAGCAGCTAGGAGCGGGCGGGCGCCTTGACGTTGCTGATGGCGCGAAGCCACCTCGGCTACCATGAGGATGCCCCCTCGCTGCGGGCGCAGCTAACGGAGCCGCGTTCGCACCGCGCACCTCCGATCGCAACCGCAGCCCGACCGCTTCCCTCCTCCCCCTCCTCCCTCTCCTCCTGCTCCTCCATCCTCCCCCGTTCCTGCTACTCGGCCGCCTCCTCCTCCTCCTCCTCCTCCTCCTCCTCCTCCTCCTCCTCCTCCTCCTCCCTCAAGCCACTTCGGCCCTGGCCCCCCCTTTTCCCAGGGCTGCCCCAGTACCTCCGCGAGGTGCTTGAGGGACTTCCGTGCACCCGCTCCCTTGCAGGTTTTACGGTCGACCAAAGCTGGGGCTCATGGCTCGCACCCACCCGCCGCCGCGCAGCACCAGCCAGGCTGCCCGCGGCACCGCTGCCTGGCATTCTTCATCGCGCCCCTGGACGCGCTGCCGCGGCTGCAACACGTGCGAGTACAACGATCGCCTCGACCCGCAGGCCCCCACATGCCCACGGTGCAATCGGCCCGTGCGCATGCACCGCGGCCGCTCTCGTTCGCCAAGCCAGGTGAGGTTCGGGCCCGCGGAGATCATCGACCCCGATACGCCGCCGCCAGCCGCCCCTCGCCGCGAGACGGCGACGCCACGTGCTGACAACGACGCCCTCGCCAACCACCTACGTCAGGCACTTGCGGCCGCCACCGACCCCGCCTTGCAGGCCATCCTCGCTGCTCAGATGCAGCGCCTCGGCGCCCAGGAGCCCGAGCCCAAGGTCAGCGAGGTCGAGGCCATGCGGAAGGCAGACGGTGCGTGGCGCAGTGCGGTCAACCACCACAATCAGGTCGTGGCCAACGTCGTGCGGCTCCGCAAGGCCTTGTCCACGGCAGAGGCCAAGGAGGCCGAGGCCGCCCTCGAGGTCGCCAAGACGGAGGCTGCCAAGCGCAAGGCTGCTCAGGCTCTGGCACATGCCGAAGGAGTCGGACACCCTGATGGCGCCAAGGACTCCGCCAGCAAGCCCGACCACCCACCCGAGGTTCCTTTCACAGTCTCGTGGGACCCCACGCTCTTCCAGCAGATCGAGGAGCTCGATTTCACCGACACCGAGCAGCAGGAGCTCAACGCCGTCAAGAAGGGGCTCGAGGAGCTCAAGCAGCAGTTCGCCACAAAGGGCCCCCAGGTGCAGGAGCTCATCAGCCGTGCCACAGCCGTGCGGCAGGCACGGGAGGCACGCTACCAGAAGAAGCGCAAGGGCGACGGCGGCCAAGCCAGCACCACGCCTGGGGCAGCCCCGCCCGCTGGTGGCCACGCTGGCGCTGGACCGCCCCCCAGCTCGGGCGAGGCCGCCGGCGCTGGAGCTCAGCCGCCACCCGCAGCCGCCCAGGCGCAGGCGCAGGCGCAGCAGCAGGCGCAGCAGCAGGAGGAAGACGCCGCGCTGGCCGCTGAGGCCGCTCGCCTGTCAGCCGCCAAGTTCGCCGCCCACGCCGCCATGAACAAGGATGGTGCCCCCGAGACGGCTGCGCCGACGCCGACGCCAGGCAAAGGGAATGGCCGCACCACCGCCACCAAGCGAGCCACCTCACATTGACTAGGCGGAGGTGACCCCAGCATCACGGGGGAAGGTGATGCCAACTCTCCTACCAGTACTAGCAGTTTCTTCTTCAGCAATGTCACTTGCTTCGGTGAAAAAGTCCATGAGTGGATGCAGGCCAGCAGTGATGACTATATCGGATTCGTCGAGACCCACGCCAATGCAGCCAGTGTATCACAGTGGCAAGGGAGGCTCAGGTCTATCAATCGCAGGCTCTTCGCCAACGTTGCTCGACCCACATCGCGTGCTGTTTCTGAAGGGTGGACTGTAGATTCCCATCTTGAGGCTGACTCCATGTCCGCAGTTTCACACGCGAATGAGGGTGGAGAGCGGTTTCTTCCTAGAGGGCACCTCCATGCCCACCCTCTCCTCGAGGCGGTCCAGTCCAAGGACCTCCAGTCTTTCCCTCACTCCTCCCTCGATGGCTTCCTGCCCATTGTCCTCCATCTCCGAGGTTATTCCATCGTAGCAGTTCTTTTCTATGGGTTCTGCAGTGTCGGCATGAGAGGACCCAATTTAACTCGTTTTAGGAAGCTTGGGAGCCTCCTTCGCTCTCTTCAGCTTCCTTGGTTCGTCATAGCCGATTGGAACCTCAGCCCTGCTGCACTCACCCAGTCGGGGTTCCTAGCACAGGTCCAAGGAGAGATCATGTGCGCCCCTGTCGAACACACATGCGACCCAGGTGGAGGCCGTAAGCCATCGCATCTGGACTTTCTCGTCCACAGTGTTGCTGCCCGTCCATACCTAGTCAGCCTCTCGCCAGTGCTTGATGTCCCGTGGAAGCCCCACATAGGGCTGCGTCTCCAGCTCATCCAGTCTGGCGAGCAATTGCTCACGCGTATCCTTCAGCTCCCGAGGTGCTTGCCACACGTCGCTCGCCCTCGCAAGGCTGCCACTGCTGGATCTAAGCCGAGCCGTGCCAGAGCCCAGCGAGCAGCCCACATGGAGAAGGCAACCGAGAGAAAACAGTCTCTCCATGCCACTCTCTTTGCCGATTTACGGACCAGCGAAGGCCAAGACGCCGACGCCGAGTCTACCAGTGCTGGAGACAGCCCCACATCCGAGGGCGACGACATCGACTCAGCCCAGCTTTCCGAAGAGGAAGACCCGTGGGCGCACGAGACGAGTTTTTGGCCAGCCGTGCCGTCTGCTGTCTCGAACCCCGCTCGCGAGGAGACAAAACAGTGCTCGCTCGGCTCGCCTGATTCGCCCCTCCCCGTTGCCTCATCCGCTCATATTTGTGATCCGCGGCTTTCGGCCCACGGAGAATACACAGCCGATGCTTCTTTGACTCATAATTCTAGCGGTGTCGCCCCGAGAGACATGCCCGCTGCCCAGGACAGGCCGCGTGCTGCTCTCTCCGCCCGCGACCCTGCTCCCGTTGCCCCACCAATTGATTCAGCCCAACAGTCAGAGACCTTTTCACCAGCCCAGCGTGAGAACCCCCCTGACGTGCCTGTCGTACCCGAGGAGACCATGCCAGACAGTTTTCCCAAATCCACGAATTTTCCCCAACATGGTTCTAATGGCCCGTGCCCTGGATCTGGGGAGTTTAGTTCTACCGCTGTGGATTTCGAAATCCCTAGTTTGCTCTGGAGCGTCCATCGGGAACAAATCAGCGCCCTGCCAGCCAGCTGCACGCTGCCTGCCCCTGCGGCCACTGCTTCCGTAGCCTTTCGGCTCAAGCCTGATTTGACCCTTCAGCTTGGGCAGACCCACGGCTCTTGGGCCGCGACTGTCGAGGCCACCTTTCACACGCACCACCAGATACCTTTCGCAGGCGCCAGCCGCGCCACAAGACCCAGCTACCAGATCACGGTTGTCCGCGAGCTGCAGTGCAAGAGGAGAGCGCCTCTTGCCGACTTCTCGAGCAACTGGTGGACGCGGGTACACACGCTACTCCAGAATACGTACAGACATCGAGCTCGCAGAAACGGCCATCTGCAGCTCCAGCAGCTGTATCGGGACCTACGGCGCCTCGCTGACACACCACCTCCAGCTGCAGCCAGCATCGTCACACTCAAAGACGACCGCACTTGGGATCAGTGAATTCTTTTCTTGCAGCAGATCGAGCTCGCCGACGACGGCTACATCGTGGCACACGCAACCAGAGCCAACCGACTTGCCAAACGAGCCCAACAACGGGCGATCCGCAAGTCCGTCCGTGCATTCAGCGAGTGGGCAACCACGCCCGAGGCCCTGGGAACACTTCATCGCTCCCTACGACCCCAACCACAACCAGCAGAGGTTACACTGCCCGACGGCTGCACCATCATGCACCCCAAGGAGCTCATTGACCAGAAGATCCAGACCTGGACCGACCTGTGGGCCCCCCACGACGTCGACTACCACAGCCTGGATACCGCCTTCCAACGCATCGTCGACCGCGTCCAGGAGTGCCCACTCCCTGCGCTCACCGCGGACGACCTCCGACGGGCCACCTCCCGCCTCAAGGCCAACGCGGCGCTCGGTGCCGACCGCCTACGACCTGGCGATTTCCAGCGGCTTCCCCAAGAGGCACTCCAGGAATTGGCCGACCTACTTACAACATCGGAACGACTCCAAGCCTGGCCACACCAACTCCTGCACACCATCGGCGTCATGCGGGCCAAGAAGGACAACGGCGACCGCATTCTCGGCCTCATGACGATGGTTGCACGATTGTGGTCCATGGCACGAGAAGAACATGTACAACGGTGGAATCGAGATTACTTTGCACACTGGGATGCCATAGCCAAGGGCAACTCGGCTTTCCGCGAGGCGTACGAAAGGTGCCTGCACGAGGAGCTTTCGACCTACCTCCGCATCCCGCAGGCGCACGGGCTGCTCGACATTGCCCAGTTCTACGACTCCATCCACTGGGTCACCCTCATCGACGACGCGCTCGACCTCAACTTCCCACCTGAAGTCCTAGGACTCGAGATCTTGCAGTGCACCGCCCCCCGCACGCTCATGCAGAGCGGTGCGTACGCGGAAGCACTCCATCCCACGCGCTCTGTCGTACAGGGACTACGTTCTGGCACACGGTTCGCCAAGATCATGACCTACAAGGCACTTCAGCGCATCACCCATCACTACCCTGACCTCCAGCATCGCATTTGGGTCGATGACCTGTCGCAGCGCCTGCAAGCCAGCCGACGTGCTTTACGACGCCGCATGGTGGCTTGCCTCGCCGACACTTGCACGGCGCTCCAGGACCAGGGCCTAAATGTTGCTAAGAAGAGCGTCATCGTCTGCACACACCACGACGACGCCAGGTACATTGCGAATGCTATGAGAAGGAAGGGTTTCCCCATCCGCGCCAACACCCAGGCCAGCTACCTCGGCATCGACCTCGGCTGCGGTATACGACATGCACGACGCACCACCACCCTGCGACGCCGCAAGCACGACGCCATGCACCAGAATATACTTCGCTTCACACGTGCGACACGGCGGTATCGCATTTCATCTAAGCTCGCCGTACAAGGAGGGATGCCCGCAGTCACCTACGGACACCAAGTCTACGGCGCATTCGGCACGACTATGACCACCTACCGCCGACGCGTCGGTGACGCAGTGGGACCCCGCCTACGTGGACGGTGCCTCACTACCCTCCTCGACCTGCGCGCCCACGACCCAGCCCGCAAACTACCGCACGACGCACTCAAGGCATGGCTCACCACCTGGATACAAGGAGGGCCCCTCCAACGTGTTATCCAAGCCACCTGGAAGACCGTCGTCGCCAATTTCAAGACCATGCCGCCGCATGTACGAGTACGACACATACGTGGGCCACAGTCTACCATCATCCACTACCTCATGCAGCACGACTGGGAGCCTCTGGAGCCCAACAAATGGCGCCTCCCACCAGCACTCTCCGAATGCGGAGACACCTGGGAGTTCGACGCCCAGCAGCTCACGGGACACCCCGACGCCGACATCCCACATCAATTACTTCATGACCTCGACGCCAGCATCCAGCACCAACAATGGCAGCGGGCCAGTACCCACCACGGCGGAGAAGGCATGCAGCAGGGGATCGACAACTACTCCTACCGCAGGCTTCTTCGGCACCTCGAGAGTCTCGCAGACGGCGCACGTCTCGCGAGCCTCATGCTCACCATCGCAGTAGGTGCCATGTGGACACGCACCAGGGCCGCCGCTGAAACATCTACCACCACTCCCACTACATGCCCACGCTGCGGCACCAGCGACGAGGACGACTACCACCGCTGCTGGGAGTGCGAGGGCAACAGCACCAACAACATCATACTCGCCTCCAACACACTGTGTGCAGAGGCAGCCTCCCAACGGGCCATGTTCGAGTGCTTCTGGACGCGAGGCCTACTACCTGCGCAGTGGACAGCTCTCCCGCCACCACCACAGCACGACCAATGGGAACATTTCAACTGCAACGGCCACAATGACGGATGCATGGATCACGTAGGAGGACGCCCGACATACGCCTTCGGCGATGCCAGTGGCGGCCCCGACACTGCTGTCACTCCCCTGAGGAGGATCGGCATAGGTGTCGCCTTTTTCGCCGACCTCAACAAGTACGACATGCCGCTACGGGGCGCAACTTGGGGGCCCCTCGCGGGCAGCCGACAGACCGTCATCCGCGGTGAACTCATGGCCCTCGTAGTGGCCGCTGAGAGCATCACCGACGACCTCGTCTACTTCACTGACAGTGAGGGCTGCTAAAACAACTACCACAACGGACACACGGACAATCCTGTCGGACCCGACGCTGACCTGTGGGCACGACTAGGACGCAACATCTCCTCTCGCCGCGGCTCCCTCACCATCTTATGGATCCCCTCGCACATGAGTGCCCATGATGTCTTTCAGGGCAAGATCCCCGCCACCCTCGCCTACGGCAACACAGTGGCGGACGAGATCGCAGGAGGCGCAGCACAGGCAGCCAGGATCCCAACTTCTGACAGACAGCAATACGCATTGATTGAGCAAAAGGCATTTCTAGTTCGCATGAGATTGCTCCGCACATCTCTCGAAGCGCTTGAGCATGCTAGGAATATCGAGCAATCCTCTGGGGAATTTCGCCCAAAGAGGCAGAGAGGCGTGGCCCCGCAGAGGCCACCCGCCCCCCGCGTTTGTGCCCTGTTCCAGTCCCAGCACTCGGTAGCCTCTTGTGGATCCAAGTGCACCCGTTGTAGGACCACTACCACGCTGGCCTCAAGGGCCCAGTGGCTAGCAAGTGAATGCTTCGATCTATGTAATGTCGATGGCACCTATATGATGGCTCCTCTTGGGAAACAGGTACACGTCGCAGGGGGATATGTTGACCTGACCCACACTTTAAGGTTCCACGCTGGGCTGAATCTTTGGTTTTGTTCCGTCTGCGGGTCCTACGCAAACCAGCTTCTCGGGAAACTCGGGGGTCGGTGCGAGGCCCCGACACCGACAGGCATTGCATACCTGCGGAGAATCGCCAAGGGACTCTGGCCTAAGGCCCTCAGTCGAGCTGAGCGCGAAGCCAGAGACCAACGCACCCCACGGAGGGTAGCGGATCTTTAATTTCATCCAATCGCTACGCGATCATGCAGAATCTCCAGAATCTCCTCCTCCTCCTCCTCCTCCTCCTCTCCTCTCCTCTCCTCCTCCTCCTCCGCCTCCTCCGCCTCCTCCTCCTCCCCTCCTCCCCCCTCCCCCCCCCTCCCCCTCCCCTCCCCCCTCCCCCTCCTCCTCCTCCTCTCTCCTCCTCCTCCACCTCCTCCTCCTCCTCCTCCTCCTCCTCCTCCTCCTCCTCCTCCTCCTCCTCCTCCTCCTCCTCCTCCTCCTCCTCCTCCTCCTCCTCCTCCTCCTCCTCCTCCTCCTCCTCCTCCTCCTCCTCCTCCTCCTCCTCCTCCTCCTCCTCCTCCTCCTCCTCCTCCTCCTCCTCCTCCTCCTCCTCCTCCTCCTCCTCCTCCTCCTCCTCCTCCTCTCTCCTCCTCCTCCCTCCTCCTCCTCCTCCTCCTCCTCCTCCTCCTCTTCCTCCTCCTCCTCCTCTCCTCCTCCTCCTCCTCCTCCTCCTCCTCCTCCTCCTCCTCCTCCTCCTCCTCCTCCTCCTCCCCTCCTCCCCCTCCTCCTCCTCTCCTCCTCCTCCTCCTCCTCCTCCTCCCTCCTCCTCCTCCTCCTCCTGATCTCCTCCTCCTCCTCCTCCTCTCCTGCTCCTTCTCTTCCTCCTCCTCCTCCTCCTCCTCTTCCTCCTCCTCCTCCTCCTTGTCCTCTCTCTTCCCTCCTCCTTCTCCTCCTCCTGCTCCTCCCTCCTCCTATACCTCCAGCTTCTGTCCTCCAGCACCTTGATTCCGACATTCCAGCCCGCGTCGACTCCCGTGGGCGCCAGGTCCCCCCGCTCTCCATTTGTGGGGCGGGCCCGGTCGGACCGACATCGAGCCCTCCCTCGCTCGCATCTCTGGTCTCCTCTCGACTCCAGACGTCCAACGCATCAACACAAGACTAGACGCAGTTGACTGCCGCTCTCTGCCTCAGCAGGAGGTTCTCGCAAGGTTCCAGGACAGTCGAAAAGCGACTCGGGAGGAAGGCCAAGTCAGTCCTGGGGAAAGGGTCGGGACTTGGGGGGCCCCGAATGGAAAAAACATGGCATCGCATGCCTGGGCCCACGCCCTGCGGGGGCCGCCTGGAGGGGGGGGGGCAAGCGCACAGGCCAGAGCTAGGGTGAACCCTTGAGAGCCCGTGCATTCAGGTCCCCAGACATCTGGCGTCTCGATTCGGTTGAGACGCGGTTCCCCCGACCTGTTGAACACGTCCAGGGGACCCGTCTCACATCCTGAGTCGTTGTTTTGATGGACCCGAGGCGTGGTACGGGCCCCAAGAGGCCGAACACTATGCAACAACTCCGTCGCGATTGTTTCGTGTCGCTTGGTGTCTCGGTCACTCTGGCGAAAGGAAGCGCAGTCCGTGCAGCCGAGCCACGCCCTCCGCTTCGACATCGTCGGCCGTGCGGGGGCCTGTGGGCAGGCGTGCCAGCCGGCTGGCAAGCGGGCGGCCTGAGTCGGGCGACGGGGTCGGACGGATGGGTTGGCAGACGGTCCCTCGTTGACCTAGACCTTGGTTCAACTTCTAATCCCAACCAGAAAGGTTGGAATTCGAAATTTGTGTGTGTGTGTGTGTGCGTGTGTGCGTGTGTGCGTGTGTGTGTGTGTGTGTGTGTGTGTGTGTGTGTCAGTGTGTGTGTGTGTGTCGGGCCTGTAGGTTCTGCTTTCGTGTGCTTGTTGTGCAGCATTTTGCTAACGAGTCATGACGTGCACTCCTGGGCTACCCTTCCTGTCCCCCCTGATGCCAACATGTAATCTGGTGGTGCTGAATCCCGTCGTCCAGGTTGATTCACCGAAGCCAGGGTGTCTGCGTGAGACACATCTTTTGGACCTACTATACGCTGGCGGTGGGACTCGAATGTTGCAGCGAGCCGGACTGACCGCACTCAAGCGCCGCCTTGCCTCCCTCTCCCAGCCCAACTCGACCGCATCTGCTGCCTGTGCAGCGTCCGCATCCCTCCGCACGGCGAACGCAGACGATGAGCGCGCTAGGTGCTGCGCAGTGTCTTCTCCGCGCTAGAGCGGGGGTTGAAGTGGTGGCCAGCGATGCTGAAGCAGCCGCAGTCGACCTCCCTCCCTCCCTTCTCTGGCTCCGTGAGACGCTGGCATGGGGGAGCGGGAGGCATGGAGGGGGATGGCGAGGGGGAGCGGGAAGCGTGGATTGAGAGGCCAATGAAGCATGGAGCCTTCTGCGAGGGGCGCCACGCATTTAGCAGAATACTGGCTTGCACTCGCACGTCTGCGCGGGCGCCAATGCAAAGGTTCCAGGGCATCGGGCCGAGCAGCGCAGCGCACTGCGACATGTCGCGAGGACGTCGCGGCGCGAGAGCTACATGGTAGAGAAGGGGCGATTGTAGCAGCAGCAGCCGCGAGGCGCGCGGGCCTGGCCTGGCGCGCAAATCCCACGGCCTTGAAAGCCTGCGGTCCGGGCCCGAAAGCCCACAGGCCCAGGCGCCTCGCGCCGACTTGCACTACGGGGCCCAGGCCCCATGCCTGGGGCCCAGCGCCTAGCCCGCGCCCAAAGCACCGGGCCCCTGGCCCTGACACTAGGGCCCCCCGCCCTCGGCCGAGCCTTGGGGCCCGTCCCCGAGAGCTCCTCCCAACTTCAGACCCCTATCCCAGCGCCCTAGGCGCTGCGCCTCCGACTCCGCGCCCGAAGCCCCGCGCCCGAAGCCCTCTGCCTCGCCCTTTGGCCGCGATGCTCAAAATGCCAGGCCCAAAACCCCGCGCGCCGGGACCAAGGCCCACGTCTGAGGTGGCGAGCCTTGGAACCGCCACCACCTGGCCGAAGGGCTCAGGGCTGGGGGCCAGACAGTGTCTGAAGCAACAGGCAGAGGGCCCCGGGGCGGGGGCCTCGCGACGCAGGACGCGACCCACGGCCCCGGGCCTCCCAGGCTGGACGGCAAAAGGGCCCCCGGTCGCCGATCTCGCCCGACTGGAGGGAGCGCGACCCGAGCCCGAGAGCGCGGAGAGCTGGACCCACGGCCCAAGGGGCCTAAGGGGTCGTCGCAGTCCGACGGAGCACAACAATACAATACAAACACACGGTCAACATATCACAACCATCATATCACATCACAACAAAACAACACATGACCCAAGTTGAAGAAGCCAGTGAAGTCATGTACTCATACATTACCTTGGCGACCCACCTAACTCGTACGCAATGCGGGACAGGAGTAGCTTGGGAGATTTGACGAGGGCGCGGCGGCGTGACATGGACGCATATAATTTTGCGAGCGGCATTCGGAAGGTTCGAAGGTCCCCGATCAAGGACAGCACGATGAGTAATTCAGTGAATCCCTGCGTCACAAAAGAAGACGCGAGGTCCGAAAGGACGTCGACAGGGCAGCAACCACATGACATGGCCCCCCAAGGACGGCGAGGCCCCACCAGCAGCCTTCGAGAGTAGCGAGCCCACCAGCAACCCTCGAAAGTGGCGACAACCCCGCAGACCGCAACCCCCCAAGGACGGGGCCGCCCAGACCCGCGCGGCGCCCCACCCCGCCGGACGCACCAACAACCCTCGAAACTGGCGACAATTTCGCAGATCGCAGCCCCCCCTGGGACAGGGAGGTCCCGCTCAGATCCGCGCGGCGCCCCACCCCGCCGGGCCCCCAACGGCCCCCGAAAGCGGCGGCAACCCCGCAGACCGCAGCCCCCCAGGGACGGGGAGGTCCCCCTCAGATCCGCGCGGTGCCTCACTCCGCTGGACCCACCAGCATTCCTCGAAAGTGGCGACAATTTCGCAGATCGCAGCCGCCCAGGGACGGGGAAGTCCCGCTCAGATGCGCGCGGTGCCTCACTCCGCTGGGCCCACCAGCAGCTCTCGAAACGGGTGACAATTTCGCAGATCGCACCCCCCCCCTGGGACGGGGAGGTCCCGCTCAGATCAGGCGCCCAAGAGGCCCCCCAAGAGGCCCCCAAGAGGCCCCCCAAGAGGCCCCCCAAAAGGCCCCCAAGAGGCCCCCCAAGAGGCCCCGAGAGGCTTCCAAGAAACTCAAAAGAAGCCCCACGTACCACTTGAGGCATGCAGCTTCTAACCCGCAACCCAGGCACCAAGGATCTCGGGCCGACAACCAAGGCGCGGTGGCGGGATGGGCCGAAGGCCACTGTATATATATATATATATATCGATATATATATATATATATATATATACATAGATCGCTCGTAAACGGAGGGGCACTGCACACACATGTATTATACATATATATATATATATTATATATATATATATATATATATATATATGTATGTACATGTGTGATCTGCCGCGGGCATCTGCCAGGACCGAGAAGAAGAAGAAGAAGAAGAAGAATAAGAAGAAGAAGAAGAGGAGAAGGCCGAGGAGGAGGAGGAAGAGGAGGAGGAAGAGGAAACAAAAAGTAAAGACTTCCGTCGCCGCCGCCGATGTCTCACATACTGTCGTGGTCTTTCGACCACCCGAGGCATCTCCTCGAATTCGGCCTCCAAAAACCGTTCTCGCTGCCGGGGACCACCGCCGAAAGTCCGGGATGAGGATCGACCTCCCTGGCCAGTGCCACCCGTTCGCAAAGGACGGATCACGGGGTGGATCGAGGCTCGAGGCATGAGACTCCCAGTTCTTGGGCGCTCTCCGCCCCCTCTGGGCCTTCAGGAAGCTCCTCGTCGACACAGCTGGGTCCACTGTCGAACTTCTGGCCGGACGCCGATCCAGGAGGTGGAAAAGGAGGCCTGGGACAGGCCCCGTGAAGGCCCCTAGAAACTCACATGAGACCACGAACAATTTCGAAACAATCCCCTACAAGGCCCCCCCTTGAACCCCACACGCTACGTAGGACAGGCCGAACCCCCAAGATTGCCCAGCGATCGCGCGCGTTTCGCGAATTCTGTCTTTCACTCTTGCTGCCCCCCGAAGGGGTCAGCGGTGCGGCGTAAGCCAATGAAACACACATATAAGAACATGGGGAACACATGGCGTTCAACACACACACATATACAACCACACATATCTATATATGTATATATATATATATATGTATATATGTATATAGATACTAGAACCATCGCGCGCGCTTCGCGCGCGCTCGGGTTCTAGCAGGCCTCAGGCCTTGACGAATCCACTGCTCCACTGAAGTAGTGGACCACAGTCCACGCATGCCAATCTGCATTCGGAAAGGCCTTCGAGGAAAATGGTTGTGTAGGGGGGCGGAGGCCGTATGAATCGGATTCCCAGAAGGCCTTCAAGGAGCACGGGTTTGGGGGCGTCTTGGGGAGCCTGTTGGGGCGTGCCGTCGTCGTCGTCGTCGTCGTAATGTCGTCGTCGCCTATTGGGGCGCGCCGTCGTCGTCGTGGTCGTCGTCGTCGTCTTCGTCGTTTCGTCGTCGTCGTCGTCGTCGGTTCAAGAGGGCACTTGGGGCAACTTTTGGCGCCGCGAGAAGGCGATCAGTCATGTTCCCAATCAACTTCCCAGACAGCTCTCCTGTAGCATGATGGTACTTCGAAGCCTCCAGAGACTCGCGGGCCCATGATGAACCATGTGCCCGAAAGGTTTTCTGGGGACATGGTTTGTTGGGGTGTGTTGGGGGGTCTCTTGGACGTTTCCTGGGGGCCCCTTGGGGGCCTCCGGGAACTCTCGGGTCCATGATGAACCATGTCCCCGGAAGGTTTTCTGGGGACATGACTTCTTGGGGTGTGTTGGGGGGCCTCTTGGGCGTTCCCTGGGAGCCCCTTGGGGGTCTCTTGGGGCTTCCTGGGGCGTCTTGGGCGCCTCACGGGGCTTCGTGGGAGCCTCTTGGTGGCCTCCGGGGGCCACAGGCGGCCTCTAGGGCCAGAGACCTCGAAGTATCGGTTGGCGGTCCTTCTCTGGGCCCTCTCTTGGGGAACTCTTGGGGCACAGTTGGGTTGTCTGGGGAGCCTCCCGGGCCGTCTTGGGGCCCTCTTCGGGGCCTCGTGGCCCGTCTTGGAGCGATCTGAAGGGCCTCCGCGCGAGGCCGTGAGGGAGCGCTGGGAAGCGGGGAAAGCGAGAACGCCTAAATCCTTCAATTATCCTGGCAAAGCAACCTAACAGCGATGTGTAGGAGCACATCTGGAAGCATTCCCCTTAAGATTCAGATGAGAATCAAGTTGTAGAATTCTGCTGTTCTCGAAGTGTAGTCGCATTCGCGATGACAGTCGCAGTGGCAACGGCAGTCGCAGTCACAGCCTCAGCCTCAGCCTGCCTCAGCCTCAGCCTCAGCCTGCCTCAGCCTCAGCCTGCCTCAGCCTCAGCCTCAGCCTGCTTCAGCCTCAGCCTCAGTCTGCCTTCAGCCTCGGCCTCAGCCTCAGCCTGCCTCAGCCTCAGCCTGCATCAGCCTCAGCCTCAGCCTCAGCCTGCCTCAGCATCAGCCTGCCTCAGCCTCAGCCTCAGCCTGCCTCAGCCTCAGCCTCAGCCTGCTTCAGCCTCAGCCTCAGTCTGCCTTCAGCCTCGGCCTCAGCCTCAGCCTGCCTCAGCCTCAGCCTGCATCAGCCTCAGCCTCAGCCTCAGCCTGCCTCAGCATCAGCCTGCCTCAGCCTCAGCCTCAGCCTGCCTCAGCCTCAGCCTCAGCCTGCTTCAGCCTCAGCCTCAGTCTGCCTTCAGCCTCGGCCTCAGCCTCAGCCTGCCTCAGCCTCAGCCTGCATCAGCCTCAGCCTCAGCCTCAGCCTGCCTCAGCATCAGCCTGCCAGCCTCAGCCTCAGCCTCAGCCTCAGCCTCAGCCTCAGCCTCAGCCTCAGCCTCAGCATCAGCCTCAGCCTCAGCCTCAGCCTCAGCCTCAGCCTCAGCCTCAGCCTCAGCCTCAGCCTCCTCAGCCTCAGCCTCAGCCTCAGCCTCAGCCTCAGCCTCAGCCTCAGCTCAGCCTGCCTCAGCCTCAGCCTCAGCCTGCCTCAGCCTCAGCCTCAGCCTCAGTCCTCAGCCTCAGCCTCAGCCTCAGCCTCAGCCTGCTCAGCCTCAGCCTCAGCCTCAGCCTGCCTCAGCCTCAGCCTCAGCCTGCTTCAGCCTCAGCCTCAGTCTGCCTTCAGCCTCGGCCTCAGCCTCAGCCTGCCTCAGCCTCAGCCTGCAGCCTCAGCCTCAGCCTCAGCCTGCCTCAGCATCAGCCTGCCTCAGCCTCAGCCTCAGCCTGCCTCAGCCTCAGCCTCAGCCTCAGCCTCAGCCTCAGCCTCAGCCTCAGCCTCAGCCTGCCTTCAGCCTCAGCCTCAGTCTGCCTTCAGCCTCGGCCTCAGCCTCAGCCTGCCTCAGCCTCAGCCTGCATCAGCCTCAGCCTCAGCCTCAGCCTGCCTCAGCATCAGCCTGCCTCAGCCTCAGCCTCAGCCTGCCTCAGCCTCAGCCTCAGCCTCAGCCTCAGCCTGCTTCAGCCTCAGCCTCAGTCTGCCTTCAGCCTCGGTCTCAGCCTCAGCCTGCCTCAGCCTGAGCCTGCATCATCCTCAGCCTCAGCCTCAGCCTGCCTCAGCATCAGCCTGCCTCAGCCTCAGCCTCAGCCTGCCTCAGCCCCAGCCTCAGCCTGCTTCAGCCTCAGCTTCAGTCTGCCTTCAGCCTCGGCCTCAGCCTCAGCCTGCCTCAGCCTCAGCCTGCCTAAGCCTCAGCATCAGCCTGCCTCAGCATTCAAAATGTGCCCGGGAATGGAGTTCTGGGAACTCGAAGAACACGAAGTGGCCTACAGTTGGCTCCGGGCATTCAAAATCATGCCCAGGAATGGAGTTCTGGGAGCTCGAAGACCACGAAGTGGCCTACAGTTGGCTCCGGGCATTCAAAATCATGCCCAGGAATGGAGTTCTGGGAACTCGAAGACCACGAAGTGGCCTACAGTTGGCTCCGGGCATTCAAAATCATGCCCAGGAATGGAGTTCTGGGAACTCGAAGAACACGAAGTGGCCTACAGTTGGCTCCGGGCATTCAAAATCATGCCCAGGACTGGAGTTCTGGGAACTCGAAGACCACGAAGTGCGTTACTGTTTGCTAAAAACGGAATCCTCAGTTTCCCGGGGCACCCTGTCCGGATCCCGCCCAGACCCCTCTGGGGAGTCAAGATGCTTTCTTTTGACCCCACTAGAAACCTATCAGTTTTCGCTGTTATGTAAAAATCATAAGGGCCTCCGAGCGAGGCCGTGCGGGAGCGCTGGGAAGCGGGGAAAGCGAGAACGCCTAAATCCTTCAAAAACCATAAGATAATCTTGCCTCCCAGGGCCCTCTTGGGGAGCCTCTCGAGTCCGTCCTGGAGAGTGTGGGAGTCTCGTCGGCCGTCTTGAGGGTAGCTTGGGCGTCTTCGGGGCCTCCTGGGACCGTCTAGGGCCCCCTCGGGACCTCCATTAGCCTGTCGTGGCCTGCTTCGGGGCGGGCTCGGGCCGCCTCGGGAGCTCTGCAACCCCCCCGGGAATCTTTCCGGGAACATGATTCGTTCGGCTATCTAAAAAAGGCCTCAGGCTTCTGGGGGCTTACCGAGGGGCGCCTTGTGGCCTTGTCGGCAAGCCTATTGGAAACATGGTTGGGGCGGTGGGCGGAAGCCCAAGGAATCATGTTCCTGGACAGCTATCTGGGAAATACGATTTACCGAAGTGCCTTGGGGGCCCGTAGGGGGCTTCCCTGGGGGCCCCTCGGGGGCCTATTGGGGCTTCCGGGGGGCCTCTTGGGAGCCTCACAAGGCTTCTTGGGAGCTTCTTCATGGCCTCCGGGGGCATCCTAGGAGCCTCTCAGGCCGGAGACCTTGAACTGTCGCGCTCTTCGGGCCCTCTTGGGTCGCTCTTTTCTGGCTCAAGACCCCCACGCAGGACCGATCCATGATTTCGAACAAGGCCCTCTTGGGCCTCCCTGAGGCCGTCTTGGGGGCCTCCTGGACCGGCTTTGGGGCCTCTCGGGCCATCTTGGGGGGGTCCGTGAGCCCCACGGGAGGATCCTTTTGGGCCGTCTTGGGCCCTCTTGGGTCTCTCTTGGGCTGTGTTGGGGCTCCTCGGGGGCGTCTGGGGCACTGCGAAGACGAAGCAAGCGAGTATGCTGAAAATGTACGTTTTACGAATGGAATGGGCCGATGTTTGCCTCTTGAAGGCCCTCTTGGGCCCTCTTCGGTCATCTTCAAGAGCCTCGCTGAGGCTGTCTTGTGGGCCTCTTGGGCGTCCTCGGAACCCGGAAATCATGTTCCCAGAGAGGCTTCCGGGAACATGATTTCGAACGAGGCCCTCTTGGGCCTCCCTGAGGCCGTCTTGGGGGCCTCCTGGGCCGCTTGGGCCGTCTCGGGGGGGTCCGTGAGCCCCACGGGAGGATCCTTTTGGGCCGTCTGTGGCCCTCTTGGGTCTCTCTTGGGTTGTGTTGGGGCTCCGCGGGGGCGTCTGGGGCACTGTGAAGACGAAGCAAGCGAGTATGCTGAAAATATACGTTTTACGATGGGAATGGGCGAATGATTGCCTCTTGAAGGCCCTCTTGGGGCCCTCGTCGGCCATCTTCTCTTGGGGCGCTCTTGGGCGTCTTCGGGGCCTCTTGAGGGCTCCTTGACCATCTGTGCGGCCCGCGTGGCCTGTCGTGGGCAATTTGGAAGCGGCCGGGGGCAGTCCGGGGGGGTCTGTGACCCGCAAAAGGTTCCGGGGGGCACCCATGGGGGATGACGGCACCAGCCCGAGCTCCCCCGGTGTACTCCGAGATATATATATATATATATATATATATATATCTATATGTGTGTGTACACACACACACACACGCTAGAACCACGCGCGCTTCGTGCGCGCTTAGGTTCTAGTCGTGCTCGAGGATCCATCATCGCAAATTGCCGCTGGGTGCTGCCAGGTTGACTCGGAAGCTCCTGTAAGGTTGTCGTGGCACCTGCTGTAATTTGAGACGGTAGCCCAGAAGTCGTGTAAAAGGTCTTCGGGGGATTCTACGACGCGTCGTCTGGGGCTGAAAGAGCAAACGCCCCGCGCCCATCCCAGCATCCAGGCCCCCACCATTCAGTTGGGAATGCATCCCTCGGAAACCCGACGGCAATGGCCCATATCCCCCATCTGGCGGGACATCGGCCAGTGGGGCCTAGGCCACGCCCATGGGGGATGAGGTCGGTCAATAAACGATGCTCGTCCTGGAAACTAGGTTCGGTCAGGTGTAACTCATTCGGCATCCGCTGACACGTCTTCCCTGTGCCCTCAGAACCCCCGTGCCCAGCCCAGCTGCAGGCCTGGACCCCTGTCCCGGGACCGGCTCTGCATCCCGAGTCCCTTCTCGAAGGCTCCCGGGCCCGGCGAGGGCCCCATCGAGCCGGCAGATTGCCCCAAACCTCCCAGCGCGCTTGTGGCTTCAAAGCGAGGGGACCTCACCAAGGGGAGCGCCAAGTCTGCTGCGCCCTGGGTGAGGGAGAGGCCGGCGAGGGCAGCGCTCTTGACCTTGCTGTGCCTTCAAAGCGAAGAGAAGAAGGGCCTCCCAAACGGGGTCCGGGCAGATGGGGTCGGAGGATCGGGCCGCAACACCAACGCATCGGCGATGGATCGGTGATGTATCTGCGCCCACGGCGATGCATCGGCGACGTCGGCATGGAGAAAGTCGGGCTCCACATCGAGCCGCATCGCCGATGCATCGGCGATGCGGCGCGGTGCTCCGACCATCTCTGCTCCGACCCATCTGGGAGGCCTAGATCTCCGCTCCCCCATTCTGTTTTGAGACGCCCGAAATTTCTACGGAGAAGCCGGGCAGCCGGGCACGACAGCGGCTGCTGTTGGACGCGCGGCCATGTCAAGTGGACACCGCCCGCGGCGCCTCCGACAGCGAGTCCGATTTCAAAATGGGCAGGAACTGTTGTTGATCCTTGCCCCCATTCTTTCCGTACCCGTTTCGCTCGTGCCGATCCTTCCCCTCTGCAGCTCCCCCGCAGCCACCGGCCCCTGGATCGCTGGTCCTAGAATGCCAGCCTGCTTTCGACCCCGCACCCTCCCTCTGACGCCGACGCGCTCGCTGACGGTGGTGGCCACGTCGATCGCTATCTGCAGCACCTTCCGGGCTTCAAGCCGAATTTCCTCAAACACGCCCCTTCCCCGCCCGCCTCCTGCCTACTGCCCTTCTCCTCTCCTGGCCCCCCCGCATGAGTCGGGGGCCCGGTGAGCACACTGGGATCGCGGGTGAACCCAAAACATGGGGGGGCGCCGCCTGTGTCGGCGAGGCGTGCACATGGAGCCGGCGACCAACCGCAGGACTGGCGGAGGGCGGCGGGGGGAAACTGGGCGCCCACGTCCTCCCCTCTGAGGGTCACACCCCCAGGCGGGGGTTGGGGTACTGGTCGGGGCGAGTTCGGGATGCGCCCCGCTGCCAGCACCCCCGTGTCTCGGGGCCCCTGGGCTCGTCCCACCTGGTGTCCCTCCTCCTCCCGGGACCCCCTCGGGGGGCGGGCTGGCGCGGGCTCCCTCGGGCCTGCGGCGTGCCACGCATCGCCCGTTCCGACGGCGCGACGGGTGCAGCGCCCCCGAAATGAGCAAGGATTGCCCCGGTAGCCCTATAGGCCTACCGCGGCATGTTCTTAGGAGCCCAACAGTGTTCTTAGAACCACAAGGATGTTATTGGAACAGATCGCCGAACACAAAGCGTTTAAGCAGCGGCCAGAGACAGAACACCATGTGTCAAAACAACACCAACCCATCCAGAAACGTGCTAAGAGCGTCTCGCGCAGACCGCCAGAGGCTCTCAGAGAACTCTCTCTGGTGGGCCCATGGGCAAGCTGGGGCGTCGCGCCACTGCTCGACCGAAGGCGGGCCTCCCACGCCCTGCTGCTTCGCGGCGCGCAAGCGCCCCTCGTCAGCGCCGAGGGCTCGAGGGGGGGGCGGCAGGAGGCGGGGGCACGCCTGCTGTCTTTCGGGGGGGGCCCCGGCCGCCACAGGGCGGCGCGCCGACCCCCTCCTCCTCCTCCTCCTCCTCCTCCTCCTCCTCCTAGGAATTCCAGTGGCGCTCGATCTCTTGCTTCCAGTGCGTTTCTTCACACGGCACGCGCGCAGTCTTTGGCTTACACTGTGTTGCTTCGTTCTGCACGCGTAATCTCCGCACGGCACGCGTATAATCCTCTTGTGCAATGTAGCGTAGCAGCAGTGCACAGGATGTCAGCATGATTTCTGTCAGTGCTTCAGGGAATAGGGATAGTCAGCTTCACAGCTTTAACCCTGAAACCTCCGGCTCCACGGGGGGAGCTGGTCTGGAAGGTAGTTTGGGGCTGCCAGCTGCACGGATCCAGGAGACGTAGAGCGTGCTCCGGGAAGGGCTTCTCCGGAGCATGCTATTCGGGGTCGCCTGGCAGCCTTCATAGGCCCAAGTGGCTGCCCATCGCGGGCGGCACGGGGTGCTAGCAGCATACCGGGTGCTCACGGAATCCCCCAGACCCGGCACTTGGGCAGGGGAGGAGCGAGCTGTTTCGCGCAAGGGTGAAAAAACAGTCCAGCGCTCCGACCATTCTTGCTTACTCTTACTCCTCCTCCGCCTCCTCCTCCTCCTCCTCCTCCTCCTCCTCCTCCTCCTCCTCCCCCTCGTCGTCCTCTTCCTCCTCCTCCTCCTCCTCCTCGAGAACAGGGGATTGTGGCGGCCCTCGCCTTTCGGATGGTGCTTTCGTATGGTCTCCCTACACCCCACCCAAACAAAACGGGCGTCGTCCCACCATGTCTTGGGGTGGGTGGGAGCAACATCCTTCGTGGTGCTTTCCAATTGTGTCCCTTTGTGCGGATTTCCAATCCAACCCCTTTGCAGTGTGTTCCATTGAATCCCTATAGAGAGGCGTTCCAATAACATTCTCTTTTTATGGCACTTTCCAACATATTTCTGTCGGGAGGATTTCCCATCGAAGCAGTTTGGGGCATATACGAATGCATTCCTTTTAAAAAGGCGTTCCAATAGAATTCCCTTTTGTGGCGCAAACCCGAGAATTCCTGTTGTGAGGGTTTCCCATAGAATTCCCTTTTGCTGCGTTTCCACAAGATTCCCACTGAGACGGTTTCTATGTCTCCCTCTTCCCCCCCAAAAGAACCGGCGTCGCCCCAGTACGTTTCAGGATTTCATGTTTTTCCCAACCATCCTGTGGTGTTGGGTCCTCGTTTTGAAGAGACGGTGCCCCGCGTTCCCTCCTCCCGCTGCCCCCTCCCTCCTGCCATCATCATCATCATCACCATCATCATCGTCATCATCATCATCGTCATCATCATCATCATTATCATCATCATTATCATCATCATTCCTCTCCTCTCCTCTCCTCTCCTCTTCTCCTCTCCTCTTCACCCACCCAGTACACTGTTTCGTGGCTCCATAGGGAGCTCCACCGAAGGCCCCAGTGCCCGCGCCCGCATGCGTCACCCACACCCATTTCGGCACACCCCTCACACGTTTCGTGGCTCCATAGGGAGCTCCACCGAAGGCCCCAGTGCCCGCGCCCGCATGCGTCACCCACACCCATTTCGGCACACCCCTCACACGTTTCGTGGCTCCATAGGGAGCTCCACCGAAGGCCCCAGTACCCGCGCCCGCATGCGTCACCCACACCCATTTCGGCACACCCCTCACACGTTTCGTGGCTCCATAGGGAGCTCCACCGAAGGCCCCAGTGCCCGCGCCCGCATGCGTCACCCACACCCATTTCGGCACACCCCTCACACGTTTCGTGGCTCCATAGGGAGCCGAAGGCCCCAGTGCCCGCGCCCGCATGCGTCACCCACCCCACCCATTTCGGCACACCCCTCACACGTTTCGTGGCTCCATAGGGAGCTCCACCGAAGGCCCCAGTGCCCGCGCCCGCATGCGTCACCCACACCCATTTCGGCACACCCCTCACACGTTTCGTGGCTCCATAGGGAGCTCCACCGAAGGCCCCAGTGCCCGCGCCCGCATGCGTCACCCACACCCATTTCGGCACACCCCTCACACGTTTCGTGGCTCCATAGGGAGCTCCACCGAAGGCCCCAGTGCCCGCGCCCGCATGCGTCACCCACACCCATTTCGGCACACCCCTCACACGTTTCGTGGCTCCATAGGGAGCTCCACCGAAGGCCCCAGTGCCCGCGCCCGCATGCGTCACCCACACCCATTTCGGCACACCCCTCACACGTTTCGTGGCCCATAGGGAGCTCCACCGAAGGCCCCAGTGCCCGCGCCCGCATGCGTCACCCACACCCATTTCGGCACACCCCTCACACGTTTCGTGGCTCCATAGGGAGCTCCACCGAAGGCCCCAGTGCCCGCGCCCGCATGCGTCACCCACACCCATTTCGGCACATCCCTCACAGGTTTCGTGGCCCCATCATCCACCGGAGGCCCCAGTGGCGGCGCTCACATGCGTCACCCACACCCACCCAATTCGGCACACCCCTCACACGTTTCGTGGCCCCATAGGGAGCTCCACCGAAGGCCCCAGCGGCCGCGCTCACATGCGTCCCCGCCACCCATCCCGGCACGCCCCTCACAACAACAGGTTTCGTGGCCCCATAGGGAGCTCCACCGAAGGCCCCAGTGGCACCGCCCGCATGCGTCACCACCCGCACCCAATTCGGCACACCCCTCACACGTTTCGTGGCCCCATAGAGAGCTGCACCGAAGGCCCCAGTGGCGGCGCTCACATGCGTCCCCGCCACACATCCCAGTACACCCCTCACGCGCTTCGTGGCCCCATAGGGAGCTCCACCGAAGGCCCCAGTAGCGGCGCTTACATGCGTCTCCGCCACCCATCCCGGCCCCCCCCCCCGCAGCAGCATCATGTTTCGGGGACCCATAGGGAGCTCCACTGGAGGCCCCAGTGGCGGCCCGCACATGCGCTTCCGCCACCCATGTCGGCACGCCCCGCGCGTGTTTCATGTCCCCATAGGGAGCTTCGCCGAATGCCCCAGTGGCACCCATCCCGGCACACCCCTCACACGTTCCGTAATCCCATGGGGAGTTCCATTGAAGATGAAACCCGCAGCTGCGGTACTGACAACTGCATATGGTTGGGTTCTTCGCCAGGCTAATTTGTTGGGGAACATCCTTCGTGGTGCTTTCCAGCAGATTTGTGGTGAGGATTTCCCGTCGAATCAATTTGGGATGATTTTCCTACGCGTTCCTGCTGGGATGCGTTTCACTATGATTTTCCCTGTGGCGCTTTACGAAGGATTCCTGTGGTTAGGATGTCCGAGAGGATCTCACGTGTGGTGTTTCCAAAAATGTTCTCACTGTGGGAGAGGTATCCTTTCTGGTGCCTTCCAATGAAATCCCTTTTGTGCGGATTTTCCATAGAATCCTTTCGGGGTGTTTTCCAATGGTTTCCTGCTGGGAGGCAATCCAGTAGAATTCCCTTTTGTGGCGCTTTCCACCTGTTGCGAGGATTTCCTATGCAATCCCCTTTGCGGCATTCCCAAAGGACTCCCACCGAGACGGCCTACGATATCATGCCGTTGTGGTGCTTTCGGATTGGTTCCCGATGTGAGGCCTTCCAATCGGATCTGTTCGTAGCGCTCCCCGATTGATTCCGAGTGCGAGGCTTTCTATGCTAATCGCTGTGTAATGTTTTCCAACGGATTCCTTTTGCGATGCGTCCCTGTGTGATCTCCTTGTGGTGCTTACCAAAGAACTCCTCTGGTGACGTTTTCCCATAGAACCCCGTTGCGGCGAGTTCCACAGGACTTCGACTGCCAAGGATTCCGTATAATCCCGTTGTGGTGCTTTCCGCCGGATCTTTGTTGCGAGGCTTTCCAATCGAACTGTGTGGTGCTTTCCAGAGTAGTCCTGTCATGAGGTTTTCCAATAGAATCCATCCGCGGCGCTATTCAAAATATTCCTGCTGTGAGGCTCCACAACTGAATCCCCCTCTGACACTATCCGATGGATTCTTTTTCCCAACCAACCTGTGTTGTTGGGTCCTCGTTTTGAAGAGACGGTGCCCCGCGTCTCCTCTCCTCCTCTCCTCCTCCGCCTCCTCTCCCCTCCTATCATCCTCTCCTCCTCTCCTCTTCACCCACCCAGTACACCGCTTCGTTGCTCCATAGGGAGCTCCACC